TGATATTCAATGTATACATCCTTTGTTCTTCCTGTAATACTTAATTGTTTCTTGTCCCCAAAAGATTGTATTTTCTCATTGCCTATTTTCAATGAAATTTTTTTAATTTGATTCATTGTCCTTGCATATATTCACGAAATTATTGATCAATAACAATGTCGATTATTATGCCTTACTCTGAAAAGTGTCAGAGTATGGGGATTTCAAAACAAGTGTTTACCAGAAAGCATGTATGAAGATACTTCCCTAAATTATTACCCGAATTATTGGATAAGGAGGGTAAATCAAGGAAATCAGTTTCAACATAACCTTCCAAGCAAAGAAGTCCCAATTTAAAGATACACAGCAAGGAGAGTCCATTATGATCAAATTTTCTCAGAAAATCAATCAATGACCAAAGAATCAAAAAGGCAAGATAAACTTTCTCGGGGTAGATCAGAAGAACCAAGTCAAAGAATATTTAGTGAGAGGTCAAGAAAGTAACCAATCAAAGCCCAGGCATGGGCAAATGCATAAATCTCGTGTATTCAGATCTAAGAGCATGAGAGATTCCAAATACCAGGATCGAACTAAGCATAACCCTTTAAACATGCATTTAGATCATTCTTAGGGCACATTGCCAACATGTCATATGACCATTTTCTAACAGGATTTTCAAGATCTATTTCATTAGTGAAGCAATGAATCAGTCAAAATCAGTTGACCGGATCTCCTCATCACGTAGGAGCAGCGTCAACATTAGATAACCAACCTTCCTCATCGTGAAGGACCCGTGTTATCTACCTTATCAATAAAGATGGTCATCCGTCCTTATCATGTAGGAACCATGTTATCCCTTAACCAAACCTCCTCATCACGTAGGAGCTACGTTAACCTTAGATAACCAGCCTTCCTCATCACGTAGAAACCGTGTTATCATTCCTAAAAATGGCCAGAACTTTTCATTACGTATGAGCCGTGTCATCCACAGACTAGACCTCCTCATCGTGTAGGAGTCGTGTCACCCTAGATAACTCGTCATCCTCATCACGTAGGAACAATGTTATCACCCTTCTTAAAGATTGCAAAGAACTCTTCATCACGTATGAGCAGTGTCGTCCCCTGACCAGATCTCTTCATCGCGTATGAGCAGTGTCGTCGCCAACAACAAACCATCCAATTTCTAAGCAAAAAGGGGCAGTTGTAGACACCAGTTTTTGTCCGGGTCTTTTCTATCTATTTCTATATATTATTATTATTATTATCATTATTATTATTATTATTATTATTATTATTATTCTTTTCATTTTTATTATTAATATAAATTATATTCTTTTGCAAGCCATTTGAAACCCAATATCAGGTTACAAGCCAACAACCCATGCCCAACAAACGAAGCTCAATTGACCCAAGCCCAAACACATCACTCAGCAGCCCAGTTACAGACCCTAACCCAGTGCACAACCTACACCGACCCAACTAAACCCTAACCTTAGGGTATCAACGTCTCCACGTCGCACCAACAGAAACCATTCGATCTGGACCCATCTAATGGTCCAGATCGATGACAAATGGGGTTTTAAACCCTAAATTAAAACTCAGCCACCGCCTTCAACTCTTCAATTGCACAGCCGCGTCACCGCCGATCGTTCTTGAGCCTCCGATGTCATCAACAGAAGCCCTACAGTGATATATCAGTCAATAACAGTACCCAAAACAATATCAAATCCGAAAACCCATTAAAAACCAAATTAAATCCCGAAAAATCGGGATGTAATCATGAAAAATCAGTGAGACCCATCCCCTATTTTTCTAGATATCATCATCTCATCCAAAAAAAGAGAAGATAAAAATCAATATGCAATCAGAGAGAGAGAGGATGGATTCGGGGTTTTAAAAAAAAGAAAAAAAAAAGAGCCGAAAAAGAAAGCTCAAAACAAAAAAAAACCGAGAGATACGTTACCTTTAGAGAGAGATCCGAGCGTTGTATCCTTGCCGGAGTGAAAAGGAGCCACCACCGAAGGTAAAACAACCTCTCTTTCCCTAGATCTAGTTTTTCTTAGGGTGGGTTTTCAGTTGATTTTTGGTTACTAAGGATTGGGAGAGAAAAAAGGAGTGGTTAAGGTTGTGGTGCTCCCCGTAGCCACCGACTTACGGTGGTCGGGGAGTCGTGTTGATTTCGTGAGGAGGAACGAATAAGAAGAGAAAGAGAGTGGAGAAAGAGTGAGGCGGTTGAGGGAGTTGGGGAATGAAAAATAAGGGTTTTCAAAACCCTTAAGGTGGTATATAACCACCAAATGAAGCGACGTCATTTAAGGGGCTAGGGGTCTGCGTGTTTTTACATTTAGGGTTAATAGCATCTTTGGTCCTCGTGGCTCTGAAATCTTGCACGCGTGTTCTTAATTTTTATGGTTAATCTCAACTTTGGTCCTTGCTCCTTTGTAAACGCATACCCGTGTACTGGGATTTAGGGGGTAATGTTAAATTTGGTCCTCTATAGTTGTATTTTTATCATTTCGATCATTAATGTAAATTTTAAATTTCTTCTGTTCTGGTCTCCTATGTTGTTTATGTTGTAAATTCATCCCTATTTAACCTTAAATAGTTTTATGGTCTTATTTAAACTAAGGACATCTCATTTTATTTATACTTAATTTGTATATGTTTATATTATTTTGTTTTAGTCCTATTTGCTTGATTATTTTTATTTTTCAATGTTTAGATATTTATCTCATGATTTTAATAGTTCCTGTTTAGGTCTCTATGATTTAGTTATAATGTTTGTTCATATTTAGATTTTGGATCTTTGATTCCACATAATATTTGATTATAGTCCTTTAATATTTACGAATGTATAAAATAGAGTATTTTATGTTTTAAAGCGTATGTTTTGTCCTAAATTCATTTTAGTCACCATTTTCAATGTCTTAGTGCTTGTGGTTTATTGCTCATTAGATCCCTGTTATTATGTTTGCCTATCATTTTAAAACACCACGTGAAATTTTTATGATTTATCCATATATATGTGTGTAGTATTTTTTATTTGTGTATGTATGTTTTAAGTTACATCGTTATACATTGTGTGCCTGTTTTCTTTGTATATTGATTAATTATTTTCACATTTTTTTAATATTAAAATTAATGTTTCACTATATATGTGTTTAGTTAGTGTTTATTGATTATTGTGTATATGTACATATATATATATATATATATATATATAATACATTATGTGCTTAACTACGTTTTTATTATAAGCATTTTCTGTACTTTATGCATATTGTTTTGATACATTTCGGCCTTATATTATACTTCTATGCACATCTACTTTGAAATTTAACAAATTATTACTGTTACACCTTTTTTTTTTTACTGTTATACCTTTTTATTCACTCGACTATTTTCAAGAACAAATATTTGTAGAACGGGCGTGAAAAGTATCACTTGACCGAAGTGGTGCAATCCGATACGACGTTCAAACAGAATATGGATTTGAAAGCGCAAATTCTTCCTTTTTTACAAGCTTATAGAAATTATTTTTAATTTTTATTGTTATCATATTTTTGTTATGTTATTTTATTTTATGTTCATATTGTTTAATGTTTTAAATTTTAATCTTTATTATTATTTCTTCATTTATTTATTGAATCTTAATATTAATGATGTATGTTTTGAAAAAAATAAAATATGTTGCATTCTATGTCAATTTTCGATATCAATTTTTTAATTTAAAGAGAAAATATTCTTTACGAGTAAGAAATAGACGAGGTAGCTTTCCCGACAGAGGATTGCAAATCTCGGGATTTCTTATCGAGGAAAGGGTTTTTTTCTCTTTTATTTTAATTAATATTCAATAAATAGATCATAGTTTTACTTTAGATTTGAATTTTATATTCCACCATTTACGACAAGGTATAAGCGATACAGTACCAAATTTTGGGCGCTGTGGGGTGCTAATCCTTCCCCACGCGTAACCGATTCCTGAACTTTTTTTTAAATTAAATCTTTGGTCAACGCATACCACTTTTATCTTTAAAAAACGATTTTCTTTAAAATTGTTTTAAAAGACGTTTTTAGGTATTCGACCTACCTAACCCAAAAGTCGATGGCGACTCTTTTCAATTTAATTCCAAATCATCAATTTTTCCAAAATAAAGTCATAATCATTTTTAAAAAATAATAAAAATGTTTTAGAAAAAAAGGTTATGACAATAGTTATTAAAATATTATGAAAATAAATTTACTATCAAAATAGTATGCTTGAGATAAGGTTAGTCTTAACAAAGAATGAGTGATCGTTATATCATCCTTAAAGAAACAAAAAATTACAAAATTACGAAAGTTTTGTAGGGTTAAAATTTGTGTGATTTATTTTCTTTTTCTCATTTTTAACTCTAATAAACAATGAAAAAAATAATATATTAACAAAAATTAACATAGATATTGACGTGATTTTTTTATAAATTATTTTCAATATTTTTTGTGATAATATCTTAAGGTGACATGTTAGTATCATTGTTAATTTTTATCGATGGATGACTAAATTAAAATCAAAACGTAACATTAAGTATGATTCTAAAAGAAATATAGCTGGTGACCAAAACAGAAATTAAGCAATAGATGGGTGACTAAATATGTAGTTTACCCTTCTTTGTAATAAATATATATTTGATCTTTATATTTTTCTACCTCTCTAGTCTTTCATCATTTCAATTTCCCCCCGCTCTACCCAGCCGAAAAAAAGTATCCTGTTCTGTACTCAGTTTTATTTCTTTTGTTATAATAATGTTTAATCATATATAAGTTTTATGTCTGTTAAAATACGCTCAAGCTCCTCTACTCTTTGTACATCTGAAATTTAGTCATTTTAATTTAATATTGACAATTTAGTCACTTTACCTTTTATACTTAAAGATTCAAATCAAATTCTAAGTACCATTAAAATTCTTTCTCTAAATTCTTTCATATGCCACTTTAAAATAAACAAAATACTAATTATACTTTCTTGGTTCAGCGTTCAGTAAAAGTAAAAGAGTTTCAAACAGCATCCATTACCTCTAGCAACCATGGATTACACAACACAGAAAACAATCAGTTTCAATGATTACCATAGATGGGAACATAACGGGATCTTAAAACGATTTCGTGTAGATGGGGATTCCGACCGCCAAACCCAGGATGGCGAGGGGAACCAAGAACTGAAGGAGCTTGACAATGAACTCAGATGTCTTGTCCTGATTATAGTGAGACTGTGTTGAGGGTTTATGTTTGGTCTTCTTCGGGATGGTCGAGACATCGATCTCTCCGACACAGAATTGATCCATCATGTCTCTGGCACTATCGCTATGGCCAACATCCTCGAAATCACCAGTGGCATCCTTCCCTGCAAAATATACATATTAAAACCATGTCTGCCTCTCGGCCATATTCATAATTCAGAAGCTTGTACCTGTTGCTGATAATAACACTTCATCACCACCAGGGTGGTCTTCCAAAAACTTTGTCATGTCATAAACCTGTTTCGAGAACGAGATGGAGGCCGAAATAAAGTAAAAATCACATTATATATAGAGAGAGTGTTGATCTTCAAAGCTAATGACAATATATCATGCGTACCATCACAAATAAAGCTTGTCACTGTTGATTGGATTTATCTCGAATTGCAGCATGCAAAGGAAAGTCTCTTTACATTTAAACAGTTAACTTCAGGAAACACTGCAGCTATGGAATAAATTTTACTGAATAATTATTTAGTGAAACGTTAATGCATATTTTTGTAATTATACCTTTTATATTTGCCATATCTTTATAAAGAAAAATCAGCAATGGTGTAAACAATTGCAACTTGAGATCTAATTGTTAGATGCAAAGGCTGAAAGCATGATAGTTCTTCCTGCTAGAAGCTATCTACAACCACAACCACACCTTCAAATCTTAAACCCCAAATTCTTAGTTAATGGATTTACAAATCAATCCAAAACCAACAAACAAAACATTAAAAAAAGGCAAACTTGAAAGTACCCACCATTTCAAAAACATGCTAAGTCTTAAACTTTGACACTAAACAGACATACCACCAACTCATGAAAAAAGAAAAAGAACAAGAAAGAAGAGATGACCTTGCCATTGATGATGAGCCAACAGTCTTTGCGCTCGTTGTGCTCAGAGACTTGAGCCAAAGTGAACACCTTTCCATCAGCACCGCCCATTTTGCTTCACTTTGCCTTAATCTAAAAGTTTGTATTTAGATGGAGAGAGTTGCTTCTGTATTGAGTTACAAAATGAGATTTATGAGTTTATCGGTGGGCTAACCAACTAACAAAATGGAGCAGCAGCTTAGTTGAGTTGGTGGAGACTAATAAACGTTGGGAAGGAAAGAGAGGTCATTTACCATTGAATTTGGTTTGGTAATTGGTTGGTAGTTAGTGGGGACTCACGATGTGTAAATGTTGCCTTTGTATTGCTGCCCTTTTCAAACCATGACAGAAATGTTTGGTGTAGTTAAGTGTTTTCATTTTTAGATTCACGATTTCATTTTTTAAATAATACCCGATTTCTAATTTCGATATATCTAATTGTTCCTTTAATTTCAAAATAGGTGAAGAAGTTGAAACTCCATTTCCCCCCTCTTGAGTATACTCACATGCTCTCTTTTCAGGATTTAAACCCAAGTCTTCCTTGCACACTTCAAATGCCTTGACCATTTGATCTAATGCTTTACTTGTGTTTTGTCTTGTTCTTTTCTTCAAAATTTAGAGTATGTTTGATAGGTTGTAATTGATTTTCTGAAAAATAATTTACGTAAAATAGATTATTTGAAAATTGTTTTCACGTAAAATAAATTACATGAAAATTGTTTTACGAAAAAAAGATTACTTTAAACTATTTTACGTAGAATGAATTACATTTTTTGGAAAACAATTTTCGAAAACTATTTTACGGTGTTTTGATGATATTATATATATCATTCTCACTAATTGTTTGATACACTATAATTAATTTTATAGAAAATGATTTACATAAAATAAATAAAGTTCAGTTAATATTTAAAAAAAATCGATTTGATTAACAATTAAAGAAAAAAGCTCAGTCAATTCGGTTAATAGTAATTCAATTCAGTAGGTGGCCGTATTAACTGTTTGAACACCCTTGATTTTAATTATTAGTATTTTATTAATATAATACTAAATTATTATATTAGTATTGAATGCATAAATTAATATTAGTCATTATTAATAATTTAGTAATATTATATCTATGAAAATAATAGATAATATTAATTATATTACTAAATTAAAAATATCATATAATATATTAATATAATATATCTGAATAGATATTAATATAATATTATTAAAATTATATTATAATAATATTAAATATTTTAATAATTAATTTTTTATTAAAATGATATTAAAATATTAAATAAATAAAATAATACTTTTTTAGTGTTTATAGTCTAAACTGAAAAGTTAAGAAAATATTTTAAGGAAAAATCAAATGGTAAAACATTTTACAGAAAATAAAAAAAAAATTAAGAAAATGAATTACTTTGATAAAATTAAGTACAACTATCAAATTTCGAAAAATATTTTTCAAAAAATGTTTTTTAGCTATCAACCACAGGAAAATAATGAAAAACAGTTTCTACAAAAATTAAACACACTCTTACTGAAATTCAAACTCACTTTACTCTAATGACCTTATTAGAAACTTCTAATCCTTTTACACAAATCTAACTTCTAAGCTTCACCTTTTTAAATGTTACAAGAATTATATTTAACATTATCAATATCAATGCATGCTGATAAAAAAGATCCATTGACACATCGATTATACGACGATGTATGATTTATAAAAAATAGTGATTACGAAGGTCTCTAACCAATAATCCTATCATTGAATGCAAATTATAAAAAATCTAGAGATGTCATCAATGCATAAGGATTTATTAGTTGAACTCGATGTAGTGGTACTAGATAAGTGTAGCACCCTTTAACCAGGGCCGTGGCTAGGTTGTTGGAGGCCTTGTGCAAATTCTTGTAAAGGGGCCCTTAGATCTCGAACTTATTTTTCTGAAATAATAAATGACTAATTTCATTAACTTAAAAAATTGATAGATATACTCTATTTCGGGCCCCTGTGCAAATTTGAATTAGTTTTTTCAAAAAAAAAAAATTTGCTTGTTAACGAGATTCAAACTTAAGATCAACAAAGTCATGGGCCCAATGATCTAACCACTACTCTATATCTATTTTTCTGCTTCTTAATGGCAACAATTGATATGTATACTCTATTTTGGGGCCATGTTTTTTGAGGCCCTGCGCCGTCGCGTACTATGCGCTTGCTCAGTCACACCATGCCTTTAACATCAATACATATGTGAAAATTATTGAATCTAATAGTATTGAAGTATAACAACCAAATAAGAAAAATGTTGATATGTGTGGCCAAGGAAAAACATAGAGTTTTACTTAATTTTATTTGAAAGCAAACATAATTTAATTTTAAAGGTTTTAATATGATTTGAAGTCAATCAAATTTTTATTAGTTTGAAATTAAAAAATGGATAAATTAATAATAATTATTTTTAAATAATCTAAGATGATTATAAAATGATATATGTTTAAATTTATTATTATGTCTCATTTGGGATGGTTTTTCAAACACAATTTTAGTTAAAAAACTCATTTTGAATGCAAAAGCAATATCAAATGATTAAAAAATGAAAAAAAGTGTGATGGAAACGATGATTTCAAACCAACCGCAAAAGCCAGAATTTGTAGTTTTTTTTTATTTTCAACTTTGCGTTTGTGAGCAAATTATAGTTTTATCCTTATTAATACATGGACTCCACTCAGTTACGTATTTATATCTTATTTTAATAGTTTAATATTAACGTTTTTAAAAATAATATAGTTTAAAAATATTATTAATAAATTATCTTAAAATATTTTTTATATTTTTATTATAATTTAAGTGATATATTTATATATTATAGTATTAATAAGTGTAAATGTAATTTAAATTTTATATTTTTATTTACAACATAATGTTAATAATGAACATTTTATTTTTTTTAAACTTATTTTTTAACAATAATCTTAAACAGTTAAATTTTAAACTGTAATTCTAAATAACACTTTTAAAATTATTTTTTTACCATACTTTTAAAAATCACTTTTTAAAATCTTAACCAAATTGACCTTAATCATTAATAACTAACAAATAAACTAAAGTTTTTTTTTCAAAGAAGATAACATTCACTTTTACCGTCAATAAGATCATATCCCTCCTTTAGTTGAGAGGGATATTCTAGGCAATCCTTATTTTAAATTGATGTGATCCTTTAGGTTTCTGTCTCCTCTTTATTAAATAAATAAATAAATGGGGTTAGTGTATTTTTTTTTCACTAGAAGATTATTGTATTTTTTTATTAAACTTTAAGGAGTAATTGTGTATTCTGTAAACTACAGGAGTTAACTAAATTTTTCATTAAAACTTTAAATATTTTAAAATTATTAATTTTTTATAGACAATATAAACTCGTGATTTTTTGTTCGACTATTTCATTAATAAGTTTTAGTTGTTTTATTAAAAAAATATATAAAATTATATATTTAATGATACACAGAGACATTTTGTGTTGTAAAAATACTAAAATTATTGATTATTCAAAAATAATAATTATTAAGAAAATTAAATAAACAAAAATTAAAGGGGAAATCAAAACAAGTGTTTAAGGAGTCGTCTCCTTCAAGAGGAAAAAAAAATCAGTTCCTTCAACAAATAGTCTCAACAGTCTGAAGCCATGTTTTCTCGTTCTAACTCCACTGGAATGCTTTTTCCCTTAATCTTTAACAAGCTTAATGGTTCTCTCTTTCACTTTCTCTCTCCCACTCTCTTAATTGTAATTTAAATGTTTATTTATTTACTTATTTCTCTGTAGTTACCCCAAATGAGCCATTTGCTCCATCATTTCAGGCTCTCTTCTCCACCAACATTGTTGGAGAAAAACCCATTCTTGTAAGTTATTTTAACTTCTTTTTCACTTCAAATTCATGGGGGTTTCCTTTTATTTCTCTCTGTTATGATATTCTGTTAATAATATCATTGCTTTGTTATGATTATATTCATTTGTATCTGTTTTCATTTCATTGTTTATTGGATTGTTTATTTTCATTCTCTTCAGTTGGTGGCTTTGTGTTGGTTTGGATTTGAAATCTCGATAATTTGATAACCTTATTGTAATTTTTGCAATTCTGGTTGATGGGTTAAATTTTGTTCATTCTATTGTGGTAGGTCAGGGATTTTGTACATTCTGCTTTATATGATCCCAAGCATGGATACTTCTCTCAGAGGTCAGGTGCGGTTGGTGTGCTTGAGAGGAGCATAAAGTTCAACCAACTTGAAGGTACTTTTAGAATTTTTGGGATTTTGTTGCCTCTAAGCTCGTTAAGATGTATTCATTTGCAGTTTTTCTGTGGATTGGTGATAAATTTTGAATAAAAACATGATGAAGTTAGTTAACTTACCAGTACCAAAAATTATAAATAATAATAAAAAAGCTATACATCAAAGATTTTTTAATTTTTATTTAAGTATCTCGGAAGTCTTCAATATTGATCACTTACTAGCTCGATCTAGTTACTTTTCTTTTGCACGTTTCTTTGAATCTGTGCACACAGATCTGTGTTGTGCTTTTATTGTCAAAAGTATTGTTCTTTTTCATGATCCACCATTGGTATTGCAATAACTGCAATAGGTAACTTCTAAGTTTAAAAATGCGGTCCTGAAAAGGTTTATTTGTGTATGCTAGAGGGTCTTCTTTAACAGATTATATTGCTAATGCTAGCACTAACCTTTTGGCATGTTTTAGGAAGAAAAGCATATATGAAACACTTGGATAAGATCTATAAGCAGAGTGGCATTGCATGGTGAGCTTTTTAAGGTAATGCTCTAACAGACTTTGCAATAATATCATTACTGGCATTGGAACAAAGATCTAGTTATTTTATTCATTTTTGAAAGAAGTTTTCTTGTTTACAGTAACATAATTTTTTGTGGTGTGACATTGCCACCTTTCCTGCTAATGCGGAAACTATGATGTTTATGGTTTTTATGTATTTAATTTTTTAAACTTTGTTTTCTCATGATGTCTTAGATTATCGAGATTAAAGATACTTAAAAGGCTCTGATATCATTTTATTATGCTTTTTTATAACTACAAAGTTCACTAATTGATGTCATTAAGCATGGATGTCGTAGGAAAAGACCTAAAAAACTGATTTTCTTTCTATTCCCCGACTTCAAGAATACCTATCCTTCCACTATATGTAATTGATTTCTATTTCTACCTCATTTCATTCTGTTACTTTGTTTAGTACTCTCTCTTTGTCTCTTTGTATAAATATACACAAATATGCATGCAATCTTGCTTGTGTGCAAGTGGGGGTTGTGTTGAATGTATGAACTTGTATAACCTTGTGTATCTTGTTGATCTCTTATTCTTCTGGGCCATTAAACTTTTGAATCAAGCATCATACATAGCAAAACGATTTACTGCGTTTTCCTTTAATGAGTTGTATTGGTTAATTTTCTCTTCCCTTTATTTTGATGTTACGAGCTTTGTCTTCCTTGTAGCCATGGTATGCACAGGGAATTGCTGAAGCCATATTGCATACAGCTAACCTTTCAGTTCCGCTAAAAGTAAGTTCCTAAATTCTCTTTATATTAAAAATCATACAAGCTGTCATGTATTATTTTCCTAGCTTCCATTTTTTATGAATTTGATCTTCTGAATCTCTAGGAAAATTGCTCTATGTTCTTTAAGGGGAAATATGGATTTGATAATGTTCTCACTCCAGTTAAGAACTTATGAGTGGTTCTTATGCATTATAGTGTTTCTTTGAAGTGTAATTTGTTACAATGTTTAATTATGTGCTTCTAGCTTAGATATTATGTGTTGGAATAGAACTTCTAATCTTTTGGTGCAAATGTTGAAACATATGTTTTCTTCATGTAGAAAACAGACTGTATAAAACAGAATGTAGAAAACAGATTGTAGAAAACATAATGTAGAAAACAGACTGTAGAAAACAGACAAGTCTGTTATTTTTTTCTTATTTCATTCAGTAGAGCATATTACATATTTATATACAAATAATGCCTCTAAAGTAGGAAACTCTTAAGTTAGGAAAGATACTAATCCTAGGAGATGTAATCCCTTGAAACAAGGGATTGAAAAACAAAAAATAATTACAGAATCTCTTAATTTAAGGAATTGAACAAGCTCATTTCTATAATTCCTACAACCTTACATAACTTACACTCCCCCTCAAACTGGTATATATATGTTGTATATACCCAGTTTGAATGACAACTCATCAAAAGTCACTCGTGGAAGGGCTTTGGTGAAGATATCTGCCAACTATTTCTTCGTCGGAATGTACTGTAGTTTTGCAACTCCATTGTTGACCTTCTTGTAAATAAAATGTCTGTCTATCTCAATGTGTTTCGTTCTATCATGCTGCATTGGGTTTTTTGCTATACTCATCGTTGATTGACTGTCACTAAAAATCTCAAAATTCTTCTTGTCATCTAAGTCCAGTTCTGTGAGCAGTCTTTTAATCCACATTCCTTCACATATTCCAAGAGCCATTGCTCTAAACTCTGACTCAACACTACTTCGAGAGACAACAGCTTGTTTATTACTTCTCCAAGTCACCAAATTACCCCAAACGTAGGTACAATAGCCACTAACCGACCTTCTATCAGTTAATTCTCCTCCCCAGCTTGCATCCGTATAAACCTTCACTGTTCTGTCTTGATTTTTTCTAAATATAAGTCCAGCTCCTGGGGTAAACTTCAAGAACCTTAGGATTCTGTTAACAGCTTCCAAATGTTCTTCTCGAGGATCACTCATATGTTGACTGACAATGCTCCCCGAGTATGCAATATCAGGCCTGGTCAGTGAAAGGTAGATTAACTTCCCAACTAACCTTTGGTAGGTCTCATTGTTTATTGGATTTCCAGTCCTTTCCTTGCAAAATTTCAAGCCTAACTCCATTGGAGTTTCAACTGGTTTGCAGTCGAGCATTCCAGTTTCTGCAATAAGATCCAAAACATACTTGCGCTGGTTTATGACCAGCCCTTTCTCGGACCTTGCAACTTCCATACCTAGGAAATACCTCATACTCCCTAAATCCTTGGTTTCAAACTCCTTTGCAAGATTCATCTTTAGCTTTTCTATTTCTTCTATATCACTGCCAGTTATAATCATATCATCTACATAGACAATTAGGAGGGTTATCTTACCACTCGGTGCAATTTTTCTGAATAATGTGTGATCCGCTTGGCTTTGTTTGAAACCATTCTGTGTCATGGCCTTAGCAAATCGATCAAACCAAGCCCTGAGAGACTGTTATAAGCCATATAAGGATTGATTGAGCTTGCACACAGTTTTCTTAGTAACCTTTCCTTCTAATCCGAGGGGGACCTCCATGTATACCTCTTCTTCAAGGTTCCCATTCAGAAAAGCATTTTTTTATGTCCAGCTGATGTAATTTCCAGTCCATGTTAACAGCTACTAATAATAATATTCTAATGGTATTCAATTTTGCAACCGGTGCAAAAGTCTCCTTGTAGTCGATGCCATTGGACTGAGAAAAACCTTTAGCAACCAGCCTTGCCTTGTATCTTTCCACACTCCCATTCGAATGGTATTTGACTGTGAATATCTACCTGCATCCAACAGCTCTCTTCCCTTCTGGCAAATCTGTCAAACTCCATGTCTTATTCTTTTGCAACGCTTTTATCTCCTCTTCCACGGCATTTTTCCACTCAGGAGATTGAAATGCTTCTGTCACATTTCTTGGGATTTTCACACTGTTAATGCTGGCAGTGAAGGCCTTTAAATTAGACTGTAATTTCCCATATGCAACATACTTATTTATGGGATGAGCAGTGCATTTTCTTACCCCCTTCCTAATAGCAATAGGAAAATCATCAAGATCAACAGTAGTAGCCTCTTGGGAACCATCATTACCTTCTGTTTCAGCTGCAACAGGATCCGAATCTGGTTCTTGGCAAATGCTAGGCTGACTAATTTCTTCAGCAACATCTTTCCTTCTTCTTGAGAAAACACTGAGTTGTTTCGGTTGGGGAGTTATGGTTTCAAGGTCAATGCTAGGTGCATTTTTGGTAGTGGTGGAAGGTGTTTTGCACGGACTAGAGTATTGAGTTAAAGAGGAAGGAAATTCATCAGAGTTATTTAGGTTATTCCCATCATCCTCACTAGTAATTGGGACAGTGCTAGCCGGCTTTGGAGAGACATTAATAGGTAAAGAAAAGATAGGCTGTAAAGAAATATCGGTTTGAACAGGTTGAAATTCCTTGTAACTCTTCCCCTGAATTTCTGTTCCTGAAAAATAAGGTTGGTTTTTTAAAAAATGTAACATCAAAGGAGACATAGGTTTTTTTTGTGGAAGGTGAGTAACACTTGTAACCCTTCTGACTCGAAGAATAGCCCAAGAACACACACTTTATGGACCTAGGATCTAATTTCCCTTTGTTTTGGATATGAACAAAGGCTGTACACCCAAACACCCGTGGAGAAAGACTTGAGTTTAAATTTTTAAAATGGGGATAAAGCTGAAACAGGACCTTAGTAGGAATTTTGAAATCTAAGGTCTTACTTGACATTCTATTGATGAGGTAAGTGGTTGTAAGAAGAGCTTCCCCCAAAGATACTTAGGAGCATTAGCAGCAAACATAAGGGACCGAGTAACCTCTAGAAGATGTCTATTTTTCCTTTCTGCTACCCCGTTTTGTTGAGGTGTGTTGACACAAGAAGTAAGGTGAACAATGCCTTTTTCCTTAAAGAAATACCCAAGAGTTTTATTCAAATACTTACTCCCATTGTCACCCCTTAGAATTTTGATTTTTGTGTCAAATTGGGTTTCAACTTTTTGATAAAAACTTTTAAAGAGAGACTCAACCTCAGACTTTTCTCTCATTAAGAATACTCATGTTGTCCTAGAGTAATCATCTATAAAAGACACAAACCACTTATTCCCAGAAATACTTTTGACAGGAGAAGGGCCCCAAATGTCACTATAGATAATGAAAAAAGGTGTTATTGGTTCAAATTTGGTTGCAATATATGGTTTTATGGTGTGTTTGGCTATTTGACAAATTTCACAGGAAAACAAAGAAGGATTTTTATTTATAAATAAGTTCGGTAACGTTTTGGAAAGATAGAAAAAAACTAGGATGACCTAATCTAGAGTGCCATAACATAATTTTATTGGTATTGAGATCAGAAGATAAAACTGGTTTCCTAAGAGCACTGGATAAGGCATGATTTTGAGATGCTTGACCTCCAACGTTGTACAATCCTTTGCCCAACCTAGCACTGCCAATCACCCTCTTCGAGTCCTGTGCCTGAAAAATACAACCATCAGTACCAAACACAACATTACAACCATAATCTTGAATTAATTTGCTGACTGACAACAGATTGCATGCAAGTTTAGGAACATAGAGGACATTATGAAGTAGTAGATTTTTGTTTAATGTAACAGAACCACTCCTTTGACTGTAGTGAGAGAGCTATCTGCTATTTTTATAGAAGTTGGTAAGCTGCTTTCACTATATTCCTCCAAGAGATCAACATTTCCTGTCATATGATCTGATGCACCCGAGTCTATTATCCGTTGTACCGAGGAAGTATATGAATGATTACCTTCAGTTGCACTATAAGCCACATTGGTAGGTTTGGCTGTCATATTGCTCAAAATCTGCTGCAGCTCCTCTATCTGTTTCTTGCTAAAACTGATGGAAGAATCATCTTGAGAGGCAATATGGGCCTCTTTTTGAAACCTGGACCGTGTGGGCTGCCGATCGGCTGATTTTCCTTGCAACTTCCAACATTGATCTATCATATGGCCTGGTTTCTTACAATGTTCACACCAGGGGCGATTTTTCCTCTGCTGGTTCCTAGAGGTAGAACTGGTGACAAGTGCAGAAGCATCTGTTCGCTAAACTGGTGACAAGTGCAGAAGCATCTGTTCGCTAAACTGGTGGCACCATCAGAGATCGTCGGATTTCCTCCCTCCGAATCTCTGAAAAAACTTCTCGGACCAAAGGAAGGGGTTTGGTGGCAAGAATCCTTCCTCTTGCTCCATCGAACTCTCCATTCAGTCCATATAAAAACTGAAAAACTCTCCTCTGATTTGTCTGCCTGTTGTAGAAGTTGCTGTCTTCCTGGCACTTCCATGCATTCTTTTCATATAAGTCGATTTGCTGTCAATACTTGTTGAGAATTCTGAAGTACTGTGTGACAGTAAGGTCTCCTTGTCTGAGATCTTTAATGTGATTCTCAATCCCAAAGAGCTCCGATGTATTGTCAGCACTGGAATAAGTATCTCGCGCTGCATTCCAAATTTCTGCAGCAGTTTGGTACAACATGAAATTCTCCCCTACTTCAGGAATCATGGAATTTATTAACCATGACATTATCATGGTATTTTCACTCTGCCATGTGCTGTACTTTGGGTCTGTCTCTTCTGGAATCGGCATTGAGTCAGAAAGATAGGCGATTTTCCTTCTTCTTGTGATATATAGCCGTACGGACTGGGACCATGGTAGGTAGTTGTTTCCATTTAGTTTGTAGGAGGTTATCGGTGAAAGAGAGGAATCTGAAATCTGAAAATCAAATTGATAGCGGTTGATCTGGGAAGTGATTTCAGATGCTGAGGGATCCAGATTAGCCATGAAAAAAAATAGAGTTGACCAGAAATTGATTTAAAGAGAAGCGGAAATCAGATTGATCGTTCTAACCTGATACCATGTAGAAAACAGACTGTAGAAAACAGACTGTAGAAAACAGAATGTAGAAAACAGACTGTAGAAAACAGAATGTAGAAAACAGACTGTAGAAAACAGACAAGTCTGTTGTTTTTTTTCTTATTTCATTCAGTAGAGCATATTACATATTTATATACAAATAATGCCTCTAAACTAGGAAACTCTAAGTTAGGAAAGATACTAATCCTAGGAGATGTAATCCCTTGAAACAAGGGATTGAAAAACAAAGAATAATTACAGAATCTCTTAATTTAAGGAATTGAACAGCTCATTTCTATAATTCCTACAACCTTACATAACTCACACTTCATAGTTACATTTGGCTAACAGAAATTTGGAAGATAACCAGAAGATGCCTATTTTCTTGGAACCAATTCATAATTCAAGATTTTAATATGCAAACATAATTATGTTGTCTTTTTGTGTATTTTATTGATTATATAACCCAAACTGCTTGTGTTTTTAAAGTACAACGATCATCTTTAGTGCCTTCAAAGTAGTATTTTCACTTGGCTCAACTATGACACAGGTGAATACCAATAGTGCTACTGTTTTGAAGGTATAGAATCTGCTGTATATAAGGGAAAAATCTATGTTTGGTAACAGATATTAGTTTTTGCCACGTTTATATCTGTTGTGTTGAACTGGTATTGGATGCTTAAACTATGCTTAGAAGATTTTGGATAGTTATTTATTTTTTAACTCAGTGTACTCCGATGACATCCATTATTAAGTCCTCTATCTTTGATTAAATAACAACTACCTTGATTTCAGTTTAAACTCCACTAGATATAGACTAAAGATTGTTATAAATTGTCCTATCAAAAAAAAAAAAAAAAAGATTGTTATAAATTGCCTATTTACTTTGAAAGTCATCTTTCTGCCAAATTGTATGTCCTGTAATGAATGGTGATATTTCTATTCAGTTCATACATTTAGGGATCACTGTTTTGTTTATGGATGGAAACCTAAGTTTTAAATTTTGATTCTGCTTCTTGGACCGTGTGCTCAGATTTATGAAATTGGTGGCGGATCTGGAACATGTGCAAAGGGCATAATGGATTACATAATGTTGAATGCACCTCCAAGAATTTACAACAGTATGACATACACGTATGCATGCTAACCATTCCTTATTTAGCTTAAATAATGCACTATTACTGTCCTATTCTAGTTTGTGTTACTTATGAATATACGTGCGTGTGTGTGTTCGTGTGTGCGTAAACACATGCAAACACTTTCCTCTTCAAAAATTTGAGAGAAAAAGGTCAATGTTCTGTCTACAAGCAAAGAAATAAAATTCCCAATTTCAATGAGATCATACTTTCATCGAAGGTATCAGTCAAAGAAAGTATTTGTGTAGGAAAGAAACTGATTTTTGATCTAAAGTATCATTCAAATTTTGTAGTTGAGACTGTCAATATTTCAAATACCACCATTTAGCATACAACTGTTTAAGGCATCTAAGGTTGCGTTTTGGTAATTTAGATTTCAAAGTTTAGTATAAACTGTACGATAAAGCACGTTTAAATATGACTTTCATGATTATTTTCAAATCATGGATTTGGTGGATGCCTATTTAATGGTGATTTTAAAATTCATCTTTTTATGCCCTTCAAAATATATAGGCATATTGAATTTTAACTAATTTGTGCGTAGTGTGTTCAGTTTATTCTGATAAGTTTAACTGAGTCCAATTTCATTCCCTTGAATTCATCTTCTCAAACATAAGAGAATTTTATTGTTGTCGAGGCATATCATACTGACTTAAATTGCTATTGATTGGTATCTCAAAAAAAACAGGTCCTGTTTGCCCTTGTTTAGTCTAATACTTATCAAGCTCTAATTATTTATTGCCGGTGCATTTTTTAATGAAGAACTGAGCACGATTAAATTTTCTATACATTCCTATTTACTTATCTGTTCAGTCAGTTATATTTTGTATCAACTGTATAATTTCTGTCTTTTATTTACTTTGGACTTGCATAGGGCCTGCAGCCATGAATTTCATGTTGCTGGTTTATTAGCATTTTTACACTGTACAGTCATGTACATGAAAATTCTCTATTTCCTGCAGCTCAGTGGAAATTAGTCCTGCATTGGCTGAGATACAAAAACAAACTGTCGGAGAAGTTCGTAGTCACCTATCAAAATTTAAAGTAGAACACCGAGATGCTATGGACAGGACTGGATGGGGTAGATCTTCAATATTGACATTCAATTTGATTGTTATGCTTATTCTCGAAGATTCTGAGTAATACCATTTTCTGATGTTTCTTTTAGGTTTTGCTAGGTTGAGTGGGACAATGGAAGGATGGAAGGAATTAGTGAAAAAGTGGAAAGAAAACAAATTTTGGGTGTGCTTGATAGAAAAGAAAATTGAGGGGAAAGAAAATGAGAGGGATGGTCACTTTCCATCCTTATGTGTAAAAACAAATCATCCCAATTTAAAAACAAAAGATGAGAGAAAATATGTGAGAGATGCGATGTGACTTCAAAATATGTATTTTTCAAAGTTGAATTTTCTTTTCTCATTTTTTTTACAATTCTACCAAGCAATGAATGGAAAGAAATTGCATTTCCTTTCAATTTTCCATCCTTCCTATCAACCACACCGATGGAATGAAGAAAATAATTTTCCATTTTCCCACTTTTATTTCCCTTCAAATTTTAATCCTTCTAATTTTCTTCATACTACTAAGCAAAGCCTTAAGCTTTACTTGGTTGAATGGGAAAATGGAAGGGGGTAGTGGAAAACTGAAAAACAAAATCTGAGTGTGTTTGGTGGGAAAGAAAAATCAGGGGAAAAATGAGTGATGGTTATTTTTTGTTCTCATGCGTAAAAAGAAATCACTCAAATTTGAAAGGAAAATATGAGAGAAATGTGGGGTAGTTCAAAATATGTATTTTTTAAAGTTTATTTTTTTTCTCATTTTTCAACTCTACCACACAATGAATAGAAAGAAAATTGTATTTTCTTTTATTTTTGTCCATCCTTCCTACCAAGCACACAAATGGAAAGAAAAAAATATCATCTTTCCACTTTTCTACTCTTTAATATTCCATACTTCCAATTTTCTTTTCACCTTACTAATCATAGCCTTAGTCTTATTAGAATATGAGCGTGTAGGAATGAATGATCATATTGATTTTCATGTACCTGCATTTATAAGTATAATTTTCTGTGTAAAACAGAGAGGCAGAAAAAGCTTTGCGTTTTCCTCTCACTCTAGCTCCACACTGCTGTTACATATTCGATATTCCGTAGTTTGTATGATTTATTAGCCAAAAAAAATGATAATGAGATTCATGGCATTTACATTGTATGATTCTCATCCTTGTTATCTTAAATTATTCACAGGTGGTATGTGTATCTTCTTAAATGGGTTTTGTCTTATGATAGCAATTGTGATTGTAAGAACTTAAACTAGTGTTTGTTTTTAACAGGAGATGGGGAACAACAGCCATGTTGGTTAATAATGCTTGAGGTATGCTTTACCTTGATTTAATCCTTTGTCAACCAGTTCTTGCTACTTGAGCAATGGTTAGATAAATTAAAAAAAAATCAGTTGGTATTATTTATTGCATCACATCTAAGTAAATATAGAAATAGGTAAATTATAATAAGCTGAAACGAATAACGGGGATGGGGCATCTTTAAATTTACTCATCTCAAAAGGTGATATAAATATATGCATGTAGGTTTTTGTTAGAGTGCTGGAGATGTGAATTGCATTTTGTACCCTACAGGGGATATGAATCATATGATGATGTCTTTCAAAGCTGATGGTGAGACCAACTGATAAATTGATAGTAATTGTTGTAATATAAGAGAATAAATTGAGATTACAAGGAAAAAAAAACTGATTTCTGAAGAAGGAAATTACAAGAGTTTAAATAGACTGAGTAACTAACTTCTAATAGGACTTTAAAGATAAATTTCCATGTTGATTACAAAGACTCAAACTTATCTTTCTTATCATCAAAAGACTCCTAAACAAATGGGACGATGACGATGACTACAACTACACGGCTGCCTCTGAATGCCATGTGAACAGTTTCTAGATCCCCTGTCAGCTATATTAAGAATGATAAAAAGAACTATTTTACCTGCAATATTCTAATAGTTTCTGGGTAACTTCGATTAAGTTGTAGCAGACCATTTTATGCCTGCATACCAAACCAAATTTACATGATTGATATTTTCACAGGTGCTTGATAATCTTCCACATGATCTTATCTACTCTGAAAATCAAGCTTCCCCATGGATGGAAGTATGGGTTGAAAAACAGCTTGACAGGTATCCAGCACACTTCAAATAATTTACTGCTTTTATGTATTGTGATACATCATGGCTTTTGAGAGACAGAGAGAGACCTCAAACCAAAGTGAATGAGCACAGTTAAAATGTTACCTTCACATTTTGACTCCATTGTAAAAGCCAACCATGTGGACAACTACATAATAACAAACAACCAAATTGCAAAAGTGAAACTGGAAACTTGAGTTGTTTAGAATCAACTGAAACAACTTAGATGATTTGGCACTAGATGAAGATGACCTACTTATATATAAAGCCATATGTACTTCAGACTGAATCAAGGTGATATAAAACTACTTGACAACGATAACATGTTTGTAAGTAATCAAAATTCCATTATTATCGATAAAGTTTCTATCCAGAAAGTAGTGACAGAATTCATTGATTTTGGTCATTGATGCTTTGTGGTGAAATAGTTATTTAGTCTTTTTGCTCATGAATAGAATGTAAAGGTGTTGGTGAAATATCTTCTGCTCTCTAACGAATGATTGAAGAAGTTACAACTACCATGTAGTATGCTTTAACAATTTTAACTATTTGTTGACTTTAGGCGTACACTGCTAGTTTATTCAGGCATTTTTTGTTCTATATTGAAGGGACATGTCTTTTGGTAAAGCTACTGACATTGCAGAGAGCTAATATCTTTTCAGTACATCGTTGGATGTGATGAATTCAACATCTTCTGCTGACTCCCCTTGTTTCCTTCGTTTAAAGGGAAGGACTATCAGAATTATATAAGCCTTTACAAGACTCATTAATTAAACGTTGTGTTGAAATTCTGGAACTAGATAAAAGCAACACCAGGCAAAAAAGCATTGTTTCAAAAGCTTGGTCTAAATTGTTCCCAAAGCCACAGAGATGTTGGCTTCCAACCGGTTGCATGGTAAATAACTGTTTAAAAGGTTTTTTTGGGGGTTCAAAGTTCTGTCTACACTTTGCTATAATATTTCTTTTGATTTATGCAGAAGCTGCTTGAGGTTTTACATGCAGCGTTACCAAAAATGTCTTTGATTGCTTCAGACTTCAGTTTCCTACCTGATGTGAAGATACCTGGTGAAAGAGCTCCACTAGTCTCAACCAAGGTAACTTCTTTATCCTTTCTTTTTATAGCTGAACATGCTAGAGTTTTATCCCTGAAGACTGCAACTAAGAGTCAAGCACTCTTCCAACAGATCACAGGCAATTGCATATGATTTTGAACAAAGGATGAACAAAGCCAGGATTTCTTCTTTTGTTCTCAGATATAGAAATTATTTGAATCCATAATATGAAAGCATAATTTGAGATTGATTTATTTAAACCTGTGCCTAAAGCTGTCCAAGGACAGGATTAGAGATATAAAGGTCTGTTGTATCCTTGTAGACTTTGCTTGGGGCATTCTTTTTCCTCCATTTAGGATTAGGGAGGTTTTTTTAACGAGACCCTGAGCTTAGTGCTTTCCTCTACTTTCAGGAATAAAATGTCTCTCTTTTCAGAAAAAAAAAAGGCTGTCCAAGGACAGGCAATTCTTCACCTTTCAAGATGAATTTTGCTGCTGCAATTTCTGACAAAATTGTTCAGTTGATTTTTATAGAGAATATAAAAAAATCAAAATGACATTTGTCTGGTATTAAGGTCTTCATTATTATGATCAGAACAAATTGCGATTTCAGTTGTATCGATCTCTCTTCAATACTGCATTGACAATTTATTCGAAATGATGAAAAATTCCAAAAGTGCAAAGTAATTTACAATAATTTTGAAGAGACCGCTTGAAAAAAGAGAGAATACACCGGGGAGGTATGGACAACTTTTTTGGATAATTCTGTCCTGGTCTTAAGGATGTTATTTTGAAGTTTTTTAAAGATTTTTATTCGGGCAGGTCTTCGGAGAAGGGGGTCAACCATTCTTTTATTACACTCATACCCAATAAATCCAACCCGGAATGTTTGGAGGATTACAAACCTATAAGCTTAGTCGGGGAATATAAAGATCCTTTCAAAGGTTCTTTGCAGGAGGCTTAGAATGTGCATTGATTCCATCATCAGTCCTTCACAATTCGCTTTTATTCTGGGAAGGCAGATCTTAAACTGCTCCTTTATAGCAAATGAAGGCATAGATTATTGGAGAAAGAAAGGCCTTTAAGGAGTTGCTTTCAAGGTGGACTTCAAAAGGGCATACAACATGGTTGATTGGCCAATTCTGTTGAAAATAATGGAAAAGATGGGGTTAGGTAGGCGATGGTGCACGTGGATCTTAAAGTGCATTTCCTTTGCCAAGGTTGTTCGTTGTCTCTCCTTCTATTCAGTTTAGTTGGGGAGTTGTTGAGTTTATTGCTCACCAAGGCAATTAATTTGGGCCTTTTTAATGGCTTTGCTATTGGAAAACCCGAGAATTCCTTCATGCTTTTCCACCTTCAATTCGCAGATGACTTGCTAATTTTTTGCAATGCTTCTTTTGATCAGATTAAGAATGTTAAAAGATTTTTTAGTATCTTTGAAGTAATGACAGGGCTACAGTTAAATCTCTGCAAGAGCAGACTATTTGGCATCAATTTAGAAGATGAAGTTCTCAATGATTGGGCATCAACTTTAGGTTGTTCGGTTGGTGTCTTCCCTTCTGAATACCTTGGAATCCCTCTTGGCGCTAAAAAGAACTCAGTACATTGTGGGAGCTTGTGATTCAAAGATTTTACAAAAACTAGCAGGCTGGAAAGTGCACACCCTATCTCTTGCAAGAAGAGTTGTTCTTGTGAATCGGTTCTAAGCTCCCTGCCAATCTTCTTTCTATCAATTTTCAGAATGCCCGTGTCAATTCATAAGAAATTGAATTACATCATGGCAAGATTTTTATGGTAAGGTACGACTGAGAAGGGTTGTATTCACTGGGTCAACTGGTTGACCGTTTGTCAATCTAAAGAAAATGTGGGCTGGGGATTTTAAAACTGAATATAATGAATCGAGCATTGCTTGGGAAGTGGACTTGAAAATTTGCAAATGAGAAGGGATCATGGTGGAAGAAGGTGGTGTGCAGCAAGTATAATTTAGAATTTGGATCCATCTCGTTGGATAATGTTCTGTTTCCTCAAACTTATTGGATATGGAAAGGAGTGGTATATAACAATTTCAAAGAATGATGAATATGGTTTATGTTTGCGAAAACACTTCCAAGTTCAAGTTGGGAATGGGAGGTCAATTTTCTTTTGGCATGATGTTTGTCTGGGCAGAATTCCTCTGAAAATTCAATATCCTAGGCTGTTCGCCCTATCAGATAACAAAGATGGCAAAATAGCCAAGTTTAGGCCTCTTGGCTCTTCGGGTTGGATCTGGAATATCCAAATGCGTAGGAACTTAAGTGATTGAAAAACTTGACCAGTGAGTTGTGTTAATGTCTTCACTTTGTAATTTTAAGCTTGGCTCCTTAGAGGATGATTGTTTTGTCTGGACTGGCAATGGGGAAAGTTCCTACTCGATTGAGTCCTGCATCAGAATATTGTCTGGATCGGCTAAATCTGATCCTGTATGGTCAAATCAGGTTTGGCTTGGGGTTGTGCCCTCTAAAGTGGAGTTGTTTGTATAGCAGGTAATTCATCAAAAGTTGGCTATCAAAACTGAGCTTATAAAGTGTTGTGTTCTCGGGTCGGATGATAACCTCTGCCCTTTATGTCGTCTAGAATCTGAGTCTGTATTTCATCTATTTGTATCCTGCAGAGTTGCGTGTACCGTTTCATGAAGTTTTGGAAGGTGTGTTCTGCCGTACCTGAGGATATTCCAGCTTTTCTAGTAACCTGGGTAGATTTAGTACCTTATTCTACAATCTGGAACTTCATTCCTAGTGCTGTGTTTTGGTCGATATGGTTATGCAGGAACTCTCTAATTTTTTAGAATGGAAAATTAGATACTTCACAGTTAATTTTTCTAACAAGTTGGCAGCATGGTTTTCGGCAAAATTCTCCAATTTATCAATCCAGATGGACTGCCTTATTGGTGACCTGTCTTTAGCAGATACCTGTTCGGTTTTAAAGAAGAAAGTTTCCCTTTCCCCCGCTTGGACTCCTCCTCCCTCGGGTTTCTTTGAAGTTAATGTTGATGGAGCGGTTAACAGGGATTGGAGCGCTGGGGGTATAGGAGGCTTACTCCGTGATCCAGGCAGCAATTTGCTTGGATCCTTTTCGGATTCTATAGGACCTGGTTCTCCTGCCTTGTCCAAACTGTTGGCAATAAGAGCTGGATTGTTTTTTTTTCGTGGAGTCAGGGTGGGAATCAAAGGGGTGTTTGATTTTGGAAAGTGACTTTTCCTTTGAGCCTTTTGTGAGGGAGATTGTTTCCTTAGTGATGAGCGAAATGTGATTCTTCGGCACATTCAGAGAAGTGCAAATTGGGAAGCGGATAAATTAGCAAAAGAAGGGATTGGTTGATCAGTTTTCTTCTATTTCCAGTTGTTGGTTGATCTGATGTCTGAAGTTTTAGAGTTTTAGGGAGTTCTGGTGTGTGGTTCTAGAGTCTATCTTTAGCAAGATTGTATCGTGGTCTTAAGTTTGTACTGGTTTCTATTTATAATAACACTTGAGGCAATCTTTTTCTCCTTCCAATGTTTGTTGATATACTGGTTTAGTATTCATAAATAGGAAGGGGTTTTTTTTTAATGAGATCTCCAATTCTTATTAAAAAAAAATTCCAAAAGTTAATTGTCCAAAATTCATCAAATTTGACCTTTCCTCTCAGCATTGCTTATTCTGCTGCTGCTGCTGTAGCTTAGCTGTGGCTCAAGAAGCAAGTAACTATGTTTTACAATTTTTGTTGAAGTAACTTTCCTACACACGTGTTTGTAACATGGATATATGGTTTAGACCTCCAAGAATCCTCCAAATGTGAAAAAAAGCAAAAATGACCATACACTTGTCCGATACATACCCATGTCCGGTGCTTAGCAGCTCACACCAGAATCCAAGTAACACGCATGTAAATCTTACCTGTTATAGTTCTGGCCTCTGGATATGGGTCGAATCACCGGATGAGTAGCTCGCAAATTAGATTGGAAGAAAGGGTGTTTGCCCTTATTCTGCTTTCTAGTTTTGCCTATGGTTGTGGAACTCCTAGGGAGTTACCTACTGTAATTTTTGTAAACTTAAAATTTCAACTTGTTTTATTCATTAATAATTACTCTCTAAGAACCCATTGAGTGGTCTTAGTGGTAAAAAGGAATGTTGTTCTCCTTAAAGGATCCGGGTTCGAGCAACTGTGACTGTAGGGTGTCTATGCCCGAGATCCATTGTGCATTTACTGTAATATCAGAGTCACCGTTATGAACCGTGACAATGCTTAGAAGCATGGTCAGATATTTTAATTGTCTTTAAGGTCATATTCTTTCTTTGTTTCCATGCAACTAGAGAAAAAGAGCAGGATGGTGAAGATTTTTCATTTGAAACCATTTCCACAATCTTGTCTAACCTTGTTCACTTTGTCTATTTCCAGCAGAAAGATGGCCGTAGCTCAGATTACAGCAATTATCTGGATGCCAAGGTGCTTTAGTTTTTATGTTTCCTTCGTTTGGTAATGCTGGTGTTAGTTGAGATTATGTAAATACATGATGTTCTTAGTAGTGTTTCCGTTCTCTCACTGGATGAAGACCTACAATTATAAAAAGTAGTGCAGTTTATTAATGGAATGTAAATAATTTAACTAAATATATGAATAATAGTACAATTTAATAAATATATATCCACAGTTTATTAGTGAATCTTTCCCATATTCCAAGCGACAAACTCTAGAAACTGAGATATGAAGGCAAGCTTGCATCTTTCTTTATCTGTGAACCTCAAGCACCATGATGGAAATAAATCATAATGCAAATTTATAGGATTTTGCAGTATTGTTTCCTTCTCTTTGATTATGAGATTTCTGATCTATCTAAATTCTCAAGATTTTGTTTTTCGTGCTACTGACTTGCACAGGGTGATGCTGACATCTTCTTTCCCACCGACTTTTGGCTTTTGGAACAAATTGATCATTACTGTTCTGGATGGCTGAAACTGCCAAGGGATAAATCATCCCCGCAGGGGAAAAAGAGGCGAACTATCACAGTAAGTTCACTTTTATGATGTGGGATTTGTATTTCTAATAAAAACAGTAATTTGGAGAAACTGTATAGAATAGTGGTTGGCTATGTGGCTTATTGTGAAATTTTGACACTGTTGAAGGGTATATTTCCGAAACATATCATGGCATGAGACCAGCCTTAATAGCCTCGGCATTCTAAGAGGGGGAAAAATGTATCCGGACATTTTTCCAATTTAAACCAGAAAATATATTGGTAGCAATGTGTTAACAGCACCGTTATCGTTTAAATCCACCGTTCATATCCCAGAGTAGGATTTTCAGTGCTTGCATTTTTAAAATTTCTCAAGAAATCCCTAGTATTCAGGGATTGAAGGGGAGCTAGTGGGGGCAGTTGCTCATATAATTTAGGCATAAATTATAATTTAGTTTTGCCTCCTAGCATAAAATCTTGTATCCGTCCCTATTAATATTATTGCCGTCACGTTATTGTCTACCGTCACTAAAGTATTTCCATTTTGGTATATTTGTAGCTGGATACATCTTCATTTATGGAAGAGTTTGGTTTGCCTTCCAAGACAAGAACGAAGGACGGATACAACCCTCTTCTGGATGATTACAAGAACACAAAATTCTATCTGAGTGTTCCCACACATAATACCAAGTAATCTGTCTTACAGAGAAATGCTAAAATGCCGGACTTGGGAAGTAACAAGCCAAGGTTTTTGTTGGTGGAATCTGAGGAGTTTGCTGAACTCACTCCGTGTTGCCATTTTCATAGTTTATGTATTGTCATGCCATTAAAGTACAAATTATTGAAAACAGAGCAGTCAGGCGAGTGGAGTTGGCTTGACATGCATTTACGAGTTCGAAGTAGAGGATTTTAGGGGTTGAAAAAAAGCATAAACAAAGTGATGTTAATGGTTAAGGAATTATTATTATCCCTTGAGATCCCGGGTTCAAGTATCTTGTATGCTAAGAGTGTACGAATTTTTATTATCAAATGATTGAAAGTCTTTTAATAGATATTATCTCTTTTATTGAGCCCAAACTAAGAAAAGAAAAGTTCCAATTTTTGCCAATCATCTCAGTCACAAATTTATTTATTTCTGCAGTAGAAATAATACTTTATTGAATAGAAAAAAAAGACTACGATAAATTACATCTATGTACTTGAATATATGGAGAGAGTTAGGGTACTAAGCGTTTAGTTTACTAAAAAATCTAAATGAACGATAGGATTAAAGAGGTTTATATGGCAGTCATAACAGCCTTGAAAGAATTAAATGAGTGTAATCCCAAAGATGTTGACAGGCCAATGCAATAATTGGTTTCATATCTGACCCAACTTCTATGATAGTTGAGCGAAATTCGACACAATTCAAAAAATTAATTCTTTTGGCTCGATTTGATCTATCATAATAATTTATTAATAATTATAATAAATTTTAAAATAATTATAATTTTATTTTTATGAAAATTTAGATTTTTGTTTAATTTGAAATTTGGACTCGCCATTGACCTTTAAGTTAGGTACTTTGATTATCTAAAAATATTCTTTTAAGATAATTTTAAGATAAATCATTTAAAAAAGATCAAATTGGTCTACGTATTATCAAAAATTTATTTTTAGGGATTCGAGAGTCGGTTACACGTTGAAAAGGGTGAGCACCCCCACAACACCCAAAATTAATACCCTCAATTATATGTTTTCTAAAATGATGGAATTCCCAAATTTGCACTCAAATTTAAATTATGATCATTTTATTCTATAAATTAAAGAAGGTGAGTGAATTCGTTTTTTCTAAACATTTGACTTGATAAATATGAATTAATTCACTCGATTTTATTTAAAATGATGTCCCCTTTACTACGTGGATTAATGAAAATGAAATCTAGTTATGTTGGAAGTAATTTTGTTAATCCACAACGCGAAACGACGTTGCCTTTGAATATTAAAAATAAATAAATACATGATTTATGAATGCAGCAGTAATAAACGACATTTACATTATGGATGAAATATCAATATGACATAAAGAATAAAAATAACAAATAAAAAATTTGACTCAATGAATATTTATATTAATTAAGTTGTAATTGACGGGGCATTCTTTCACTCGTGCGTTTTAAGGAATCTCACTCCAAGTATTTGGAGGGTTTCTCATAGATCGCCCTTCGTTCGAGATATTTCCCATAAAATAGATATAACTTAATTTTTATAAAAATAATTTTATTATATATATAAAAAAAAGAAGTGTGTATACATTTACAAAGATCCATGAATAAATTATAAATAAAAAATATAATAAGTTAATTAATGTGAATTATAAATTACAAACATAAATATTTTTTTTATTAAACAAGACATAAATGTTTATCCTAAAATTCTGGCGTTAAAAATGTTCAATTTGCAAACAAAGTCAATTAAGATTTAATCAATAATTAAATATACAAAAGATATAAAGGCATTTAACATACATATAAATTAGAAAGCATTTAATGTGCATAAAATACATACTAAAAAACATATATACGCATATAATAAATACACATTTTAGGCGTGTACCATTTATAAATTAATGTAAACAATATATATATATATATATACATACACACACATATATAAAAGGTGAATAATGACTAAAACGTATTGAACTACAGATTAATAGGAAAATCAGGCATTAAACTATAACACAACAGCAAACAAAATAAGGACTAAAATGTAATAATTTTCAAATTAACAACCCAACCCAAGCCAAACATTTAACCAGAACATTTAAAAAACATATAATGACTAAAATGTAAGTATGGTAAAATTCTAAAGCTCGAAATCAACAATAAACCATCTCAGGATTAAAATAATCACAGACCATGGAACTTATAACATATACATGCACGAAAATAATTTAAACATCGAATTCATAAAATTCAGTGGTACACATTTAATTTGTTATATTTCCTGAAATTTTATGTTTCATTAACATAAGAATATAAGTTAGATATAAACACCTAGGCATTAAACTTGAATATCTATAATCATTAGTAAATTATCAAGGTTTAATATACTTGCACAAGGAGTATCATACGCCAAATGATCGCACAAAATTTTATTTATACAGTTATAATAGTATACATGGAATCACAAAATCCTATTTAAATCCTCTAGTGCTTACACTTTTGCAACCATATTTAGATGTATTAGGGGAATGACATATTTATAGTGAAGGTGCATGTCAACCCTATTAAGGTTCATATTACGGGTTTAAAATTTAAAACTGCCTCAGTTGTTGAAAGTTTCTTAGAGTAGTTATTAAAGTTTGATTTAAATTTGTTTAACGATGACGTGGTATTATCTTTTGGTGACACATTAATATCATGTTAATTTTTAACGACGGGTATTAAAATAAAATTTAAATTAAACGTTATGTATGATTTTAAAGAAAAAGTTTGAGAATAAAAAATAGAACGAAAATAATATTTTAAGTATTAAACGTGTTGTTAATCCTTTAATTTAATTTAAATTGATTGGAAAAAAAGTTTAAGTTGATAAAAAACAATATTATTATTATTTTAATAATTTTACATTCTTTTATTAGTCTGAGTGATTATATTGTAATGTATGTTTAAAGTTCTTTCAACCAATTGATAATTATAAGGATGACAATGGGTCGGGTTAGCATTGAGTTTTTGTCAACCCTACCTGAAAATATGTACCCTCCGTCTGAACTTGACCTGACCCTAAAATGTTATATCTTACATCCAACACGACCCGACCAGAAAAATATATATATTTCACCCGACTCTGACCTGACACGGTATAAATTAAATATTTAATTAAAAAATAATAAAACTTTTTAAGAAATTATATTATTATCCTTGGGTGGCTCGGAGTTTTTTTACCCTCCACCCGACCCGACCTGATTTCACCCCTTAAAAAATCCGACCCAACCTAAACTCAATTTTTTAAGAAATTCGTCGGATGCGGGTGAAATTTTCATCCCTAGATCATAAACATATACACATAATCTAAACGTTACTGTTCAAATTTAAATTTTTTTAAGAAATATAATATTTTATTTAATCATAAAAATCATTTCATCTAATGATTTTATCTTCTTAAAAAATTCAAATTTATATTAAAATCGACACCTATTAGAATCGAAGTTTATTTAAAAATTTAAACAAATCATGTTTGCTCCTTGTAATCAGGGAGGAGGACAGACACAGTCGGTGCTATATATCAACAATTCCCCTTCATTATTGTCTCAATGATTATGAAGGGCTCTAAATCTATGAATCTATCAAATTTTTTTCTATTTTTAAAAAATAAGAAAATATTTTTATATATAAAAAAATAAATTATTTTTGGAATCAATAAAAGAGTAATTCTTTTCTCATTTTCTCTCTATTTTAAAGATAATTATCATGTATAAATTTTTAATAAATATATTTTTATTTTAATTTAATTTTTATTAAATAGAGAGATATTATATTTTCAGGACAAATGTTGAGATTTAAATTTTTTACATAATAAAATAATATGAGCATTTTTTATCACTCGATTAATTAATAAGTTTTTCCTTTGAATTGAATTTTTATTGTTATTGTAATAATGTACAAGAAATATATGTGTGTGAAACTATATGTGCTTAAATGTATAATATCATTAGATTTATAAGTGAAGATGATTTCTCTTCTTTATGATTAGTGAGGTATCCAGAAAATTTAGGCATAAAAAATAAACTAAATTTTTTACTTAAATATTCCATTTGACATTTTGTTACCAATTCTTCTTTGATATTCAATAAATTGGCCTTAAAATATATTTCTTTAAAAATATATAATTTTTTAAAATTATTATTTAAAAATTTATTTTAAACTTACAAAATAAAGCGATTAATTTTAATATAATGAGTATTTTTTTTATATGAGAAAAAGTGACACCATCTAACTATTTACTATAATATAGTATACATAAAATATAATTATTCGAATCAAATACCTTAAGGGAAAACAACATATTCAATTTTCAAATAAAAAAACTTAATTCCAAATTCTCACCCAATCCAATAGTTTACTTAAAGAATGCATTAGGCATCCAAACCCTTCCAATTGGCACCATACACAATCTTTTCATTAGCATACATATACTTGAATAAGTATTATTTGAATTTGAGGGAATTTTTTTTGGTCTAAGAATTTGAGCGAAATTAATATCTCTACGAGGAGCTGATTCTAATTCATGTATAACATATGAATCACCACAAAATGGTTTAACAATACTTAAATTTAAAATTTAAAAGATTGAAAATTGAAAAAGGGTTTGAGAGCGAGCGTGCTTAATTAGGGTCATGAAAAGAGGTGGTAAAAAAGGCAAGGGGAAGAGCGTTGGGATAAGCCTGTGAAAACCATAAATATCAAGGAGGTGCAACTCTGTGAATATTTACCTTTTGTATATATACATATTAATCCCCCACAGGCTCCATCATCATCATCATCATCTCTCTTTCCATGGCTACCCCCAATACTTTTCACTCTGTCTTATTATCTCTTTTGTTTCTCTATGAATTCAATACCCCATCATCTTAAGGTAGATGCAAGTTTATTATGGTGCTAATTTTACTGTGATTGCATGTAATTTCAATGGCGGTTTCTTTGTTTTATATATAGATATAGATATATAAAAGTCTTCTGCAAAATGATTGTATTTACTGACTGTAAGCCTGTAACTTAACAAGGTTTTGTCTCTGTGTTGCAGGTTCAATGATATATTGACTAGCTGGGGTCGAGTTTGTCTGTACACGAATTGACCTATCTTAGGGTTATATATATATATACATACACATATATAGCATAATGGAGAAAGAAAACTACTCGGTACTGAAATAAGCTTCACAGTTTTATCTTCTTCTTTCTCTATATTCATCACCATGTTGTGCT